ATGAACGGCTTTGACATAGTCAACGTCTCAAGAGTTTCCTTCCTGTGCACCTTTTTTGGGAGTGGCTAGAGGACATGTTTCCTTCAAAATGAGGAAGTAACAGGGAGCGAGCGGAGTAGGTTCCTGGAGGGAGTCTGGGGTGGAGCTCAGAGATTACCTGACAGGTTTCCTGTGTGGAAAACTGAGCCGAGAGGTGCCTTACATAGCTGCTAGGAAGGCAAGCAAATGCAACAACAGAAATAACAAGCAAGGAAATGTAGTCATGGTATACTGCAGCATTAGAAATGAAAACGTTAGACTTACGAGTCAAAAAAAAACTGAGTGTGTTCAACAAAAACTAAAACTGTACTGGGAACAAGGAGGAGAGGAAAGTATTGACAGATAAGGAAGGATAAGAAAATAACACCTTATCTTTCATAACAGGAAGTCAGTAGAAAGGTAAATCCGAAATATCAAGAAATAGCAGAACATGCACATTATTTGCAAGAATTATGGTAAATACCAGAAGAAGTATCTGAAGAGAGGAAAGTAATTTTTCCTACAGAGGAGGAACCAGAGATGGGAAGAAGTGGACAGGGAGCTGCTGCTTTTTGTTACAACTTGTTCTATGTTATTTTTAACAGTATTTATTATTTTGCTATAAATGAGAAATACACGAGCAAAGCAGTATCTCTCAGAACCATGTCTCTCATATGCAGACACCAGTCTGTCCGCAAATGCCAGGCAAGATTTGCTAAAATGCAAAGCAAATCTCATTTAAGAATTATAAATTCATGACTCATCTGTAAATTAGTTTTATAAGCGAATTTTTAAAATTACAACTTAAAATATTTTCGATTGATATTTTTATGTCTATAATCTTTTCTCCATTTACTCTAATGCAACATTTAATTGAAAAATGACAGCTTAAGCTTTCTCGGCAACCCCATTTTCACAGAGAAACGGGCCTGTTTGTATGTGTGTCACGGTGCACATTACACTCTGCCAGCCCACAGGAAACTTTCCTCTGGTGAATTTACAAAACACTAATCATTCATTTGTACATTCAGCCAATATTATTGAACACCTACTATGTGCCAGACATTAATCCAACTTTAAATTACACAGTCCCATATGTTTTCTGTTTTATATGCAAGTGCAACCAGTTGGAAAAGCTTAAACGTTGAACGTGCAATTAATTGTAGGCCCCCCCCATAGGGTCCGGGCACCCCACTCCTCTGTGTGTCCTTCAGGCTGAGTGGAGCGCTGACCCCACATCCCTGCAGGAGCAACCGTGGCGCCTCTGTTCCGGCACAGCCACAGATTTGCTTACGAGGCCAGACAACCTTCTATGACAGAGAACACGTCTCAGTTGTCCGGACTCGCTCGCTCACTGGCTTGGCTTCATGCAGAAACTCAATCATTATTTCTTTGTGATTAGTATATTCATATGCATTTTCCTGGTGAATAAATATGTAAACAAGTGAAAGCCAACAATGCACTTATTCTTTATCTCATTCCCTTTTCACTCCAATGAATCCCAATTTTGTGGTAAGAGGGTGGTCATTAAATCAGATCATTTCTATTTTTTCTTAAATTCGTAAGGGCCCAGAATGCTGATATTTTGGAAATACATTTCTCTTTGGAGGACTATGTGGAAACATGACCCGGCTCCATTATTCCCTTTCAAAATGACAAAATTCTAGATGATGTACCATGGAATTGTACACTTGAAACCTATACAATCTTACTAACCAATGTCAGCCCAATAAACTTAATTAAAAAAAAAATAGACTACCACACAGTCCAGCAATCTCACTTCTGAGTATTTATCCGAGGAAAATAAAAATGCTTAATATGAAGAGAAAAAATGACATAATTCCTTTGGAAAGTTCTTAGATAAAACAAATTACTCTTTTTTAGAACAGGGGTGAATCAATGAAGTCATTTGTCTCGAATCATCGTACTCAGGATGATTGATTTGTTTCATTTTCTAAAATTCCAGTGCTCCTTGAACATTTAGTCTCAGAAGTTCCACACTTGACTAATAAGGTGCCATTTGTAGAGCAGTCTACTCTGGTATTTTCAGCATGATTCACTAAGATTGATGGGAAATAGAGCAAAAAAAAACCCCCACCTTCATGCATACCCATTTAATGCAACTAACTCAGTCAACTAACTCAGTCACGCTCACATTACCACCACGGTTCACTTGACTCCTGAACTGGAATATGAGTGATAGAATTTTACTCTTTTAGCTCTGTTGCTGCTGAAGCACCTTGTTGGGGTCTAGGATGGGGTACAGTTTGTAAGTGTCAAAAGTAAGGAACTGAATTGGCTGCAATGAAGTGTCTGCTGCTGGTCCAATTTCAGGATTGTTTCCAGTGAGTGGCGTTAGCCATGGGCCCAGGGGGCCCCAGGGACGGCCACAGAGTTGCGGGCCCGCTCTGTTCTGCCTCTTCTCGGTCACTGCGTTTCCGACTCCTTGGGAAACAAGGCGGAGCGCCGTCTTCACGTTAAGAGTCGCGTGCGCGGCCTGAGCGGCTGTGCGTGGCTGCTGGCGGCAGGAGGGACGGAGAGTGACGCACCGAACGGCAGGAGGCCAGGGAGAGGCGGCAAGCAAGCCCGGGGCGCGGCGAACACCAAGTCGGGTCACAGGGCTTCGGTAAGTTCATGCCAACATGTTTTAAATATCTGGGTTCTCCTTCCAAAACACATGATTTGGAAATGCAATGTGCTTCTCATTTCGTGCCTAATTTGTCCAGATTTGGCTGAATTTCAAGCAGCCTATAAACAGCTAGTGTGGTCCGTGAAATAAACATCCGGGGCCTCTGCCCGAGCCCGAGCCCGAGCCCGTGCCCGTGCCCGTGCTGATGTGCACGCCTCCCGCCGGCGCCACCGGCTCAAGGCCCTGACGCCGGCTCAGCTGCCCCAGAGGCAAGGCAACCCCGCATGTTCTTGGATCCTTGCTGGGAAGGCCAATGCAGCTTTAAAATAGCTAAATGGTCTAATTTAAACTGGGCTCAGTTAGGTCTAGGGAAGAAAACCACCACACTAAAAAAAAAAAAAAAAAAAAAAAAAAAAAAAATCCCAAGATGTAAACTGCCCGCTCTCGTTGCCAGCGTTGGACTCCCCCCTCTGAGGGGCACAGTGGGGGGAGCCCAGGCCTGAGCTGCCTCATCCCCCTTCTCTCAGCCTGACAAGCCCTCTCCCCTCTCCCGCGGAGGGACACGCAGAGATGATGGAGACAAGATGCGCTGTTTCCGCAGTCAAATCCTGATCAAACTGCTTACCGATGGTGCCAAAACCATAAACCCCCAACTGTGCCACTACATTCTTCAAAAGTTGGTCTGTCTAAAGGTTTGGAAAACGACAGAGAAGTAGGGCCTTAATTTAACAAGGCAGATGTTCTGTCGAGTTCGTCTGCTCGTCAGTCCCTCCACCCACCCACAAGGAGGCGCCCGTTCCCACGGCCCTTGCTCTGCGAGGGGTTGTAAAATGAACTAACCACTATAGACAGTCCCTACCCGAGCCCAGCTTCCTTCAGTGCTCGTGACACTGAGGACAAGTATTTGCGTTTAAGTGGGACGGGACATCGTACAGAGCATTTAGGACACACCTTCTGCAGCGTGGTCCTTATGAGGCCCCTCCTGCTGCAGGTGAGAAGAGCAGGTCCGAGTCACCCCCCTGCCCCTTCTACACCCCCAGGCTGGCAGCAGGCGCGTCACACCAGACCCCTCCACTAACCAAGCCCGTTTCTCTGACTTGGCTGTTTCCAATGAGTCAGCTCCTCCTACCCTCCCGCAGATGTTCTTTGAAGAAACGCTCTACGTTAAGCAAATCTTTTGTTTCTTTGTATTTTTATTAACCATGCCCCACCCCTGAGCCCTTTTCCTTAGGCCACACTAGGCCACTGAGGCTACTGATGACACACACCTGGCTGAGTCCAGCGCATTCCTGGCAGTCAGCAGACCCTGGTGCCACTCACGCCCCCTTGTGGCTGGGCATGGAGACGACCACACACATCGCTCAACAACAGAGAAGTTACAACGGGCCAGACCAGGGACGTTCCACCCGTGCGCCACAAGAATTTTTAACATGCAATACCTGACTATTTAGTCAGGGGCACTGGCCCTTTTTCCCCTTAGACAATCATGTGAAAAAATGACAATGATCAACACAACAATAGCCGTTCAGTGAATGAATCAAAATTATACCTATTTTTTTGTCAGATCAGCAAAAAAATATATTTGTTGGCATGCTGCCGAATTTTGATAATAGTTTCTGTGTGCCATGAGATAAAAACGGTTGAAAGTCACTGGGCTAGGCGGTTCTGTGCAGAATTAGCAGCATTGGCTCGTTACACACTAGAGCTCTAAGTTGTCACCAATACCTTGGAAGTGTCTGGAAATGCACATACACCAGTCCTCCTGGGATCTGTTCCGGCACGAAGCTGGGGGAGACCCAGCAGAGGAATTCCTGAGAGATCTCCTATCGAGAAGTTCTGACGCGGTCGGGACTAGGGGCAGTTCCATGGTCCAGCCGGCGGCAGCCCTGGGACCACTGAGCCAGGCAGGTCTAGGTCTAGGTGAGTGAAGTTAGTTAAAATCCAAGGGTTCGGGGCCCCGAAGGTAGAAAGGCAAGCTCTGCCGCATGCCCCGCGTCTTGTGGAGCGTGGGAGGCAGGTGATGCTTTGTCGGCACCCCGCCCACTTAACTGGAACGTCATCTCCGTCAGTTCCGAGTGATAGGAATGTTTCCTCAATGCTAATTAATGACCAATGACTATTTTCATTAAACATGCCTCTAATGGACCCCGCTTCATTGTTTCTGGGAACAATCAGAGCCCCCTGAGAAACTCACGCTTCCCTTCTGATTGCGCTGAAACACACGCGGTGTAACACCGGCCCTGTAACCGAGTTCAGCGCGCAGGTCCGTGGCGTTGAGCACATCCAGGCTGTAACGCACACTCCCTGGTTCCAAGCACACTCGGCACTCGGGGTGCTCAGGAGGCGCACTAACCTTGCACTTCCCGTTGCTGATACTCCCGGTTTTTAAGGACGGGGTGTGAAATCCACATCCACGGGTGGTGCTTGCGGAGCTGGGGCAGCAGGTAGTGGGTGACAAACCCCACGGCGCCAGCCAGGACGAACAGCACCACGCTGAGGAACGGCTGCAAGAGCAGGGGCACAGGTCAGCGGCCCGCGCGGCCGGGGGGCGGGGCGCCCAGGAACGACCCAGGACACCACCGCCCTTCCCCGCTTCCCCTCCTTAAGGGCAGATTCAAACTCAGTTCCTGTTTCAGGCCCTTGGACTTGGCACAGGGCCTGTCTCTGTGCGAGAAGCACCGAGAGCCACTGACCGGGTGGCGAAGCGGCCGGTAGGAGTGGGAGCCCAGGGCCGAGGGAATGCTGCCCAGGGGACGCTTTCTTTTCTTTTTTTTTAAGAAGAGGTGAAAAATAACAAAATCAGCCAACAGACTTTCCCACATTGAAACAATCTATAAATACATTGCATTTACATACAGAGACAGCCACTGCCTGTAAGAACCTGAAGCCAGAAATCCCGTGTAGATTCCCCATGTTGTTTTTCTAAGTACCATGATGTTCCAGCACTCTTTTTGGCTCTGTGACCTCCGTGTCACTCGTGCTGTGGTGACCCCTCCCTTCTCCGCTGTGGCCTCAGCCTGTGTTATTAGCAGTGGCCACCCCCAGACCGGAGTCCACAAGACAGGCTGCTGCACCGGAAGTTGAACAGAGAAAGAGTGAGACACCGGAGCCAACCTGCCAGGGGACCAAACCACGGCCGGACACACTGCTCCCGCCCCTGGACAAACATCCCCCCAAACTCCCAGCTGGCCCTCTGCTCCCTCCCTCTGCTTCTACGGCCCCGGCGTCCCCAGAGCTCCACCGTGGGAGGAGGCCTCGCGAAAGGTACGTACTCGCAAGGACAGGAAGACAGTGCTGGCACTCACTGCAAACGACAGCACGGCAGCCACCGGGCACACGAGGAGATCCGACTTTAAGACATCCTTCTGTGAAGAGAAAACCGGCCGTCACGTTCACTCCTTCGGTGTCAAGAGAACCTACTGCCTCAGCAACTCTGTGTCACCATGCAAATCGGGTGACAGGACACGGACCCTGGGTAACCTGCCCCCGCAGCCCATCGCCCACCTGATACATTCGCAGTGGCACACACCGAGTGGACCCTTCACCACCTCCTACTCGGGAAGTATCGGGGGACTAAGGCCACGGAGCGGGAGGAGGAAATGCGAGGCCGGCCTACATCTGCTGCCCACGGAGAGAAGGCAGGTTTTCTGCACGTGTAAGGCAATAGGTCCTTCTCTATAAGCACAGTCAGGTACAAGGCGCCCAGGTCTGATAAAGGAAGGTCAAGCTCAAATAATCTGTACTTGCCCTTAGTGTAGCTTGTATTTTAATATGCAAAAAGCCTGGGTATGTCAAAGAGAAATTTGTTACGTGTTTAATTATTTCTTTGGACCAGAACAGATTTTACATTTTACAGTGTCTGGTTTCAAGGCTTATTACAAAGCTACGGTAACCAGGTATGGATGGTATTGGCAGAAAATAGACATCTAAAATGAAGAACAGGAAGAGTCCAGAAATCGATCAACGCATATATGGTCAACTGATTTTAAATAAAAGTGCCAAGGTGACAGGACACCTTTGCACTAAATGAAGGAAAAGGTAATTTGTTCAACAAATGTTGGAACAATGGGCTCGCCATCTACGAAAGACAAAATTACACAAAACATCTTGACACTTCACATCACACACAAAAATTAACATGCATCAGAGACCTAATACAAAGTACCACATTTCTCAAAGAAAACGTAAGAGGAAATCTTATTGACCTTGGGTCTGCCAAAGCTTTCTTAAATAGGACGCTAAAAGTTACAGCTAGAAAAGAAAAAACCATTCAGTTGGACTTCATGAAGATTTAACACATTTGCTGTTCAAAAGACTGTTATAGAATGAAAAGGCAAGCTGAAGACTTGAAAAAGTATTTGCAAAACATCTATCCAGGCCCTGGCCAGCAGCTCAGCTGGTTAAAGCATCATCCCGATATACCAGATGTTGCGGGTTCGATCCCCGGTCAGGGCACATACAAGAATCAACCGAAAAATGCATAAATAAGTGGAACAACAAATCGATGTTTCCCTCTCTCTCTCTTAAAAAACATCAATTTAAAAAAATCTAGCCAACCAAAGTTTTGAACAGACTCTTTCCCACAAAAGATGTACTCGTAAATTAAATGGTAACCATTGAACTTTTCATTCTTCGTGCTAATTAATAAACTATAGACCTCTCAATATTGGTGAAAGTAACATGAGGAAAATAAAAAGGCAATGGTCCCCTCTTTCCTTACAGCCACCACAAAGTAGATATAATCTGCTCCAGAAATTTTATTCTTGAAAATAATATTTTTTTCAGAAGAATCTTGACAGACACCTGAACCTCAGAGACTGTTGCTGTGTCCTATGGAAGTGGCCTTTAACACTGTAAAAAGGCGGTAATTTTGATTGTTTTTTCTTGTTAGGTAATTTTTTGCTCGCTTAAATATATATTTTATATCTCTGGTTCTAAAAGATATAAACAACTCTGAAAAAGGAGAACAAAGTTGGAGGACACACAGTATCTTATTTCAAGGTCACTACAAAGCTACACTAATCAGGTACTGAAAGTACTGGCACCAAATAGTACTGGCACATTGAGAACAACAGAACAGAATAAAGGGGGCATTTGCTTTCATGTATTGTGTTGGGGGTAGGTTTTCCTTTTGTTATACAGAAGAATAATTACTGTTACTTTCCCCTTCCTTCCCATGTTTGAAGGCTAAAAAAACTATGACTCTGTTGAATTGCTTATTTAAACAGGAGTTTGAGAGTGTGTGTTTCATTTTGATAAATATCCTGTCTTAAAAGTAAATCATACAGTCTTAGATCTTACAAAAATGAGAGTACAAAAGATCTAAGCAAAATGCAAATTTGGAAATGTCTCTGTAATTTTTATTATTAATTAGATTTTCCATTATAGGGTAACATAATAACACTGCAGTGCTCTGGAACAGAGAGATGGCAAAAGATCATTCGCGATCATTACATCCTGACACTAACAATATTTGCCTCTTTGTGTTTTCTGGGCCCCTATTTTGGCCTCCGAATGCTGAACCATGGTTTTCGTTGTAATCATGACGTATATGGGTTGTTATGCTTAGTTTATAACTGCCTATTCTTAGTGTACATATAATTTCTACCTTTTTCAACAGTCCTTTCTTTTGTAAGCATTTTTGCGTATTATGTATATTGTTCTATAGGCTCACTTACAGTCACTTAATGGAGAAATAATTCGCCACCTTGTTGTGCCATCCGCATGGACACATGCACATGCCATGGATTATTGTGCCATGGTGGGCGCTCAAAGCGTTAACCTGGATGAACTACAGTTGTGCAAACACCCCCGGGGCTCCAAGATGGGCTTCCTTCCACGTTTACCAGGATGGGTTATGCGGGGTCATTGTCTTTTCGCACCTAAATCTTTTTTCATATTTTGAACTAATTTCTAGAAAAACTGACAAATAGATTTACTATGACATAGGTTATGAATATTTTATGATCCTTAATAAATTATGCTTCTCCAAGTGATTGTAATAGTTTACACAAATACAAACAATGTCTAAGAGGTCTCACCTTGTCACAGTTGGCCGTATCATGAACTTATCCCGTACTGACTGAGTGGACCAAAAATATGCCACCGTATTTTATTCTGCATTTCTTTATTTACAGAAAGTGTAGATATATGTCATATGTTTACATACTAAATATTTGGCTCCTAAATGAAATATAGATAATAATATCATTTGCTCATAATTTTTAAACTTTAATTACATGAATCATAAGATATTGAGCTTGTGTCAAATTTGCAGCAAATATTTTAATAAATTATTCCAATTTTATTGCTTTTTTTACATACAGAAGTAAAATTGTTATGTACTCCAATCTACCTCTGTGTGTGTGTTTTATTTGTTTTCATTAACATTTTATAGATTCCAAGTCTGGAATACCATTCCCTCTCTAGAACCTGAATAAATATTTGATTTTATTTCATACTTTTTTGAAAAAGTGCATTCAATACATATGTACCATTTAGAGAATAATTATAAAGCGAACGCCCAAGTAACGACCCACAGCTTCAAGGAACCTAACATTCCCACTGCCCAAGCCTTCCCGTGAGTGGTCCCCTGACCACAAACCCCTCTTTTCCCTCTTGGGGGTTCCTATCGACCACCCTAACTCTGGGAAGATCGGTTTCTCGCTTTAAAAAGGATGACTTTGCTACCCATGTAGGTAACTATAAGCAGTTTAGTCCATTTTGCCTATTTTTACCCCGTAGATGGTACCACACTGGAGGTTCGTGTTTTTGTTTTGCTTCCTTGGCTCACACTATGCGGTTAAGGTTTGCCCATCTATTGCATGTGGCTGCAGGAGGGTCTTCTCCTTGACCACACGTGCCACACGCTACTGTGGGCGGAGTTCCCCGTGGCTTCCGCGTGGGCTTCCTACAGACAGAGATGCCCTTCTGAGCGCTCTTCCACGTGTGTGTGCACGCTGGCGCACGTGCGCAAGGTCTGCCCAGGGTAGCTACCGAGCAGGATTGCTGGCTGCGGTGTGTGCGCGGCTGCACTTCCGTAACACCGAACTGTTTCCAAGTGGGCATGCTAATTCACACCGCTACCAACGGGGCATGAGAGTGCTCTTGCTCAAAACTGTTGTCAACACTTAGTACTGTGTGCACGTTTAATTTTTTGTCAGTCTGGTAGGTGTGAAACGATAACTCAGTGTGGTTTACTTTGGAGTTCAGTTTGAACATACAGCAGCCCCTCCCCTTCCCCACAGGGGACGCGTTCCAAGTCCCCAGTGGATGTCTCCAACCTTGAATAGTACGGAACCCTATCTGTACTGTATTTTTTTCCAATACATACTTATTCACTTAAAAGAAGCACTTTACGGCTTCTCTGTGATAAATCCAAATTGCCAGGGCCACTACGCTCTCATTCGGGGGTGGTTCAGTAAAAGAAGGGTGACTTGAACACAAGCACTGTGACCCCACACCAGTCAACCTGATAACCGAGAGGCCTAGTGAGCGACTGAACGGACGGGAAGCGCGGGCGGGGTGGGGACACTGGGTCAAGGGACGGGCCATGTCCCGGGCTGGATGCAGTGGGTCGGCGGGAGATTTCGTCACGCTACTCAGAATGGCACAGATTTTAAAACTTATACATCGTTTATTTCTGGGATTTCCCATCTAACATTTTCAGACCCCAGCTGACCCCGGGCGACTGACACCTCAGAAAGCAAAACTAAGGATAAGGGGAGACCACTGCATATTAGTGTTTTGGCCGTTTATAGTTCCTCTTTTGTGAAATGCACGTGCAAATCTTTCACCTATTTTTCATTGAGATACCTGCCTGTCTCATCGATTCATGAGAATTTTATACTCATCTTGACGGTGGTGTTTTTTCAACTATACATGTTTTGATAATTGTTGCCTATTCTGTGGATTCTATTTTGTCTCTTTTTTGGTATTATTTGATAAGTCAAAGGTCATAATTTTAATGAATTTGAATTTTTGCATTATTTTTAAAAATTCTTTCCTAGACTGATATCATAAAGATAACTTCTTTTATTATGATTACAAGTGCTTTCAGGTTTTGTCATCGCTTATTTAGGTTCATAATCCATCTGGAACGGACTTCTAAGAGTAGTGTGACAGAAGAATCCTGTTATATTCTGCCACTTACAGAGAACCGTTTTTTAATCATTCTGTTTTTTCCTTTGTACAAGGTTGGAGTCATATGTTCCTTTAGCAGGAATAGAAATCTTTACAGTGAACATTCCAACATGTGTACTTAACTTACCACTGTCTAAAGTTAACCAATAGTTTTATTTGTCTCCTGGAAATTGTCTAACACTTTCAAGTCTTGGAGTCTATTTCTCTTTCCATTCAATCTTGT